GGAGTGTATTGGTATGATGTTTCGCTATTTTCCCTTATGATTTGATAGTAAAAGCTCTCGTTTAACGGTTTTTGTCTATTGTTTCTAAGATGTCTAGTAGCTTCTGCAGTTCGTTTTATCACCTGAAGGTCTAAACTTTTGCAAATAGTGCTCAGTTTGGGTTTTTTGTCTAAGTTTTACATGTTTTAGGATTTTTTGTTATATTTTTAGAAATTGACGACGATGATGTAGTTATAGAAGAACCTCCTCCAAAGAAGAAAAAGGAAGAGCAGCAAAAATCACCAATTCCTGATGACCCAGATACGGAGGTAGTGAAGTCGGTATTTTTCAAGAAAGTTTTTTTACCTGCTGCAATTTTTTATTTCGAATTTTTTTTTAGAAAAAGCCTGAACTTACAAATAGTGAGGCTTTACTGGATAAACTAGAAAAATATGTGAAGGATGCGATTGAGTCGAATACTAATGTTGAAAGGTTCTCATTTCTTTCTTTTTTTTTTTAACTTTTTCTTTTTGCCAGAAGTTTTTCGTTGCTTCTTCATTTCGGGTCTTTATTAGCCGATGAGGGGGTAGCTGTTTTAGGAAAATTTTGGATGCTCTTCTGGGTGCTATCAACATCCAGGTACAACGGGAACCCTTGTCGGTCAGGAAACTAATATTAGAAAAACAGTTGGTCCTCCCAAATACTATAAGTTTTCCTCCGTCACAGGTGAACCTTTTGCAATTTTAGCCTCTCGTAATATTATTTCTGTACCAGGCTCATAAAGATACATTAGTTTTCTTTTTTTCAAGGTTGTGGATATGCTTATTGAGCATGATCCAGATGCACCACTTCCGAAAGTCATTAGCAGGATGTTTGGTGATGAAAGGCCTAAACTGACGGAAGCGGAAAAACGAGACCGACATCTTTTAAAATTATCTCATCCTGCACCTCATATGACTAAACTTTTAATGGATATCGGCCAGGATCTTGTTCAAGAGTCGACATACTCTGATATTGTGCATGCCAAGAACCTTCCTGAAACCCCAAAAAATATGGACACCTATAAGCAGGTTATTATATTCATTTATTTTCGATTATGAACTTGTCATTTCGCGTTTTACCTTGTTTTAATAACCTTTTAAATTTTTTTAGAGTTTTTTGCAGCCAATTGTGTAAGTTCTTTACATTTTGTGCGCAATTTAGGTTGCGCAACAGCTTAAGCCTGTATGGGAGGCACTGAGGAAGAAAAATGAGTGTTATAAATTGAAACTATATTCGTGTCAAGTTTGCGGCTTTAAAACGGAATCCCTGATTGTTCTTGCACATCATAAACAAACTCCTCACTTTGACGGTCGTAAATACCAATGTGCTATGTGTCCTGAATTCTTTACCAATGAAGCAATGATTTCGAATCATTATTTGTGCGTTTCTTTTTTGTTATTTTATTGAAATAGTTTTGCCTTTGACAATTTTTCTCATTTGTTGCATTTGGGTGTCTTTGTTGTCTTATCGTTCTCATTCACTATACTACTTGGAGTGTTCATTTTCCGTTTACTTCCTAAAGATATTATTTCAGAAAGCAGCATGGACTGGTTGCTGGTAAAGAAGAGCCTGTCCCACGCAATCCTTGTCCGTGTTGTGACGAAGATTTCATGTATAAAGGACAGCGGGACCAACATTTGAAAACTTGTAGGCGGGATTTAAATCGTGTTAGGTATGGTGTTTCATCTATGCGCTAATGTCATAAGATTTTTTAAAGTTTATTTTATTCACTGCGGTTGTTTTCAATTAAGTGACTTTAGTTTTGGAAGAGGCTTTTAGTTATGGGGGTCTTTCTTATTTTCATTTTTATTTGTCCTCTTGACACAGCAATGGCTTTAGGAAACTTTTTATTCGCTTTTTGGGAACAAGGTGTTCCCGTTATTTACTTTTTGGAAATAGGACCTTAATGCACATACCACTTATATCAGCTCACTCTGTCGTCTTTTTTTATACCAGATTAAGAAAAAGGAATTAATATGGCAAAGAGGGTTTAGCGTTTGATTAGGGGTAGGGGTTAGAAGAAGATATCAAAACTGCTGGAGCGTAAAAAGATGCACAACTTTTTGTACGAATTAAAACATGCTTTTTTTTGAAAGTTCAACTTGTTAGCTTATTGACGAAGTTGTGGTTTCAGTCACTATGTTTCATAATTGATCCACTTTGTTGTTGCTGAATTTTTTTCTTAAGGTTGATAATGGCTCCGAAGGCGCCAAGAGATATTAGTGCAATTAACCAGTGGCTTTGGGAGAGGCCTCCGGTTGATCCTAGTATACTTCAACAACAACAGACTTCACAAAGGCAGCAGGCGGAGGTAAGTATTTGGGTATGGTTTAAGCATCTTGAGCTGTTCCGTTAGGAGTCGGGCTTTAAGTAGAAATGCCTTTTTTTTTAACAAGATCGCACGTTTTCAGAGACAAAAACAGTTACAGCAGCAGCATTTAGCTCAACAAAGACGAAATCAATTAGCTCAAAACACAGCTCTTTTACAACAGCAGCAGGCGGCGCTTCTTCTACAACAGGTGAATAAATCAGAAGAAAATAGATGTATTACAGCATTTTTTTTTTCTGTGGAAACAAGTTTCGATTTGATTAAAGTGTATGCATATTTACCCATCTTTTTCCTAGCAACAGCAAAGACTTCGAGCGGCTCAAGCAGCAGCGTTAACTGCATCACAGCAACAGAAAATGAGTTCTATTATTAGCAATCCTAGTATTATTGCAGGTTTCTTGTCTTATCGTATCTAAACGTTGTCGTTTTGGCAGACTACTTGAAAATTTTCTTTTTTTGTCAAATGCATTTTGACAAGTTGATTAGGTGGCCTTAGCAATTTCGATTTTTATACAGTAGTTGGAAAAATAACTGTAGTAGTTGATTTTATTCAAAGAGTTTTATCTGTTTCTTAAAAATACTCATTTTTCTTGAGTTTTAGCAATGCAGCAGCAGTTGAGAGCAGCTGCTGCAGCTGGAATACGCGCTCCAAATCTAAATTTATTTGCGGCTCGGGCAGCGGTCGCAGCAAATTCCTTGCGCAGTCCAAGTGCTTCATCACTTGCTTCTATGGCTAGTAGATTAAAAAATTCCCAGGTGTCTATGTCTGTATTTTGAAATTTTGTCGTTAAAGCTCATTGAGATTTGTTTGTTTTCTTCTTTTTTACATGGTTCTTCTCGAAGAGGAATATTTGCTGAGCATATCTTTTCATTCTGGCTCATGTTTTTAGCTGAATACTAGTCGCTCGCCATCCGCTACTTCGTTGGCTTCCTCTAGTCACGTGAATGCGTGCGAAATTTGTGACCAGACAGTGCAGGACAGAGAACGTTATTTAACGCACCTACAGCTATTCCATAAGCAGATGCGTGGAAAATCAGCGTCGGATATGCAGCAGGTATCACCTTTTGTACACGAAAAATTTTTTTGTCTAAAATGAATTTTTCCTGGAAGTTTC